AAACACACAATGCATCCCTTACACACATATGCAAACACACACTGCTTCTCTTACACACACACAGAAACACAATGCATCTCTTACACACACTCAACGCACTCCTTACAGACAAACACACAATACATCCCGTATACACAAACACTCACTGCTTTCTATCCCTTACACACAAACTAACTGCATTACCTACACAAACTGGTATCCCTATACACTACATTCCATAAGGACACACATTAGATCCTCTACAGTAACACATAACACATCCCCTACACACTCTACTCCCTGTGAGCGGACTCATGTAGGTGGACTTATGGGTGGGCTTTATGGGCATACTCACAGTCAGGCCCTGGGGCCCAGACCTTGAGCTATGTAAGAGGCCCCACAAAATTGAGCTGCTTCCCGTTCTCCCAGAACATTGAATTTTGTGACCACAGTTACAAACAGCCTCCAGAGACCCTGTTCTACACCAGACCAGTGGAGCCAGACTGCAGCCACAGCCCATCATCATCCTCATCTGATTGTAAGTAGGCAATCTAGTATATTATTAGTGACACTAATCTCTAATTTACCTCACAATAAATGGACACTATAGTCCAGAGAACCACTGCAGCTTAATAAAGTTGTTCTGGTTTCTATAGTTTGTCCCTGCAGGCTTTTTAATGTAAACACACACTGTGTGCAGCACTGGCACTAGTTCATATGGCAGATCATATGGGTGGGGCATTGCGAGGCCCCGGCGGGGGGGCGGCAAATCTTTCTTTTGCCTAGGGCGGCAAAAATCCTTGCACCGGCCCTGCCTCCAGCTGTTCGAGATTCTCACCCAATTACCTGTTCATTCCCCTAACATCTTACCAATAGCTGCTTCTCTGTTAACTCTTTCAGCCATCACCTCCAAACTTCCCCTGCTACCTTTTGTCTCAAATCCCCCTGGTATCCTTTAGATTGTAAGCCCAAGGGCCATCTAGCTAAGCACTTTGTATAAAAGAGCTCCAATGGCTAGATATCAGCTTACGGGCAGGGCTCTCTTACCTCTTGTATTTGTTTGTGTATATTGTACGTTTCTCAACTAATTGTACAGCGCTGCGGAATCTGTGTGCGCTTTATAAATTGCAATAATAAATAATAATAAATAAGGTCAGCTGATGGCGGCCATTGGAATGGTATGATTTATGACGAGGGGGGAGGTGAGAGGAAGTGGTAATTAGGAACCACGGTATGTTTATTGGCAAGGGCGGTTGGGTTACTGTATAACACTGTGTGTTGTTATATATGTATATATGTTAATTTATGCTTATTTATGTTTGACAATTTTGGTTACAGAAAGAAGATTTTGAATAATTAAAGTTATGGATGTGTTATGCAGTATTTATTTATGCTCTCTCTCGTTCAGTGGGACGTGAAACCAGGAACAGCCACTAGAGGGCACTTCCTGGTTTCTAGCACAGGAAACCTGTGCTAGAGCGTCGATGGACTTTCTCACGCTGTGTGAGGACCTCCAGCGTCGCTCATTTCCCCCATAGGAAAGCATTGAAATGCATTTTCAATGCTTTCCTATGAGGAGCGCTAATGTGCATGTGCGGCATTGCCGCGCATGCGCATTAGGTCTCCCCGGCAGGTGGTGGGATCAGTCTCCCCCACCGGCCGACGCAATCAGAGGGAGGAGCGGCGCAGAGGAAGAAGCAGCGACGTGGGACATCGTCGCTGCCTCAGGTAAGTTACTGAAGGGGATTTCACCCCTTCAGCAACCGGGATTGGGGGTGGGAGGGAGAGGGGACCTGCAGTGCTAGGAAAACGGATTGTTTTCCTGGCACTGGAGTTTCCCTTTAACTCTTTTGGATTTCAATATGCTGACAATGCTCAGGTTTTTCTCTCCTCTCCAAACCTTTTTCCTACCCTACTGGAAGGTGTCAAAACTGCTTCTCTAACTACACTGAACAAAATTATAAACTCAACACTTTTGTTTTTCTCCCCATTTTTTTAAGAGCTGAACTCAAAGATCTAAGGCTTTTTCTATGTATACACAAGGTATATTTCTCTCAAATATTGTTCACAAATCTGTCTAAATCTGTGAGCACTTCTCCTTTGCCGAGATAAATCATCCACCTCACAGGTGTGACATATCAAGATGCTGATTCGACAGCATGATTATTGCACAGGTGTGCCATAGGTTGGCCCAATAAATGGCCACTCTAAAATGTGCAGTTTTACTGTATTGGGGGAATCCGAGGGGAAACGAAAACCAGTCAGTAACTGGTGTTATCACCATCTGCCTCACGCAGAGCAACACCTTTCCTTCGCATAGAGTTGATCAGGTTGTTGATAGTGGCCTGTAGAATGTTGGTCCACTCCTCTTCAATGGCTGTGCGAAGTTGCTAAATATTGGCAGGAACTGGAACACACTGTTGTATACGCCGATCCAGAGCATCCCAAAGATGGTCAATAGGTGACATGTCCGGGGAGAATGCTGGCCATGCAAGAACTGGGATGTTTTCAGCTTCCAGGAATTGTGTACAGATCCTTGCAACATGGGGCCGTGCATTACCATGCTGCAACATGAAGTGATGGTCGTGGATGAATGGCACAACAATGGGCCTCAGGATCTTGTAATCTATTTGCATTCAAAATGCCATCAATAAAATGCACTCGTGTTCATTGTCCATTACATACGCCTGCCCATACCATAACCCCACCGCTGCCATGGGCCACTCGATCCACAACGTTGACATCAGCAAACCGCTCACCCACACAACGCCATACACGCTGTCTGCCATCTGCCCTGTACAGTGGAAACCAGGATTTATCCGTGAAGAGAACACCTCTCCAATGTGCCAGATGCCATAGAATGTGAGCATTTGCCCACTCAAGTTGGTTACGACGACGAACTGCAGTCAGGTCGAGACCCCGATGAGGACCACGAGCATACAGATGAGCTTCCCTGAGACGGTTTCTGACAGTTTGTGAGAAATTCTTTGGTTATGCAAACCGATTGTTGCAGCAGCTGTCCAGGTGGCTGTTCTCAGACGATCTTGGAGGTGAAGATGCTGTGTGACGGACCGACTGCACCCCAACCGGGTACCTCCGTCAATCATTACTTCCTAGTACTTGCGAGTACCGTAAGCACTGCACTGAAACACAATAACCACTGCAAACCCCACAAACCGCCACAGCATGGTTGGGGTCTCGCCGTCTCTTACCCACCCTGGACCTATGACAAGGCTCTAGTGGGTGAACCTCTCTAGCTCCAGAGAGTCAAGCAGGAACAGCTCTTACAAGAGCTTAGTGATTATACTCAGGGGAGTATAGTGATTATAGCATTCCCCAGAGTGTAGTTCTCCAATCCCCCAAACATGAGCCAAGAATTCATGAAGGTGCAAGATGATCTGAACATTAATGGTTCAGGTTGGCGTTTATACAATTCTCCAGGCCAGAGTGTGGCAAACCTAGCCACTTGTAATATTCTGGACTATGTGCATAAAAAGGTTGCCTGTATTAATCCCTGTAACTTCTTGTATAACCTGGCTGTACACTGTGTGTTAATGTATGTTTACATTGAATTTGTATGCTAGCAGCTGAAAGCCGCTAGCATTCATGTGTTTCGTTTCATGAACAGCAACCTTACAGGCTGTTCGTGAACCGAATGAGCTACCCCCTAATAGCCCACACAGAGAGGGACGTGTGGCGCTCATTAACCGATTGCAACTGTGTTGCAATCGGTAATTAGAGGCTTTCCTAGGTGGCCGTCATTCAGCTACCAACCACGCGGCGGTCGGCCATCTTGGATCCTTTGTCTCACCAGCGGGGTTTGGTCGTCGAGCAGGTGGAGCCGAAATCGGCTAATCGACGGTGCGAACCCCGCTGGACTTCCAGGCAGTTCGGGAGCTCCGGTAATTCCCTATTACAGTTCCCCATTGGTGTTCGGTAATTTCAGATGAACTCATGGGCAAAGTGTATTTCGTGCGGCGTTGGGTTGTTTTAGCTGGGATCTGAGCGGTATTCTCACAAAAGGTGCGCTCAGACCCAAGCTATCTACCGAATGTCCATTCGTTTAAATCACTCAAGTGTTATAAATTTTAATGTAAAATATCGGTTCTGCTGGACGGAGAGATAATGCACTTAACGGTACATTCCAGTGGGAGTATCCCTCTCGTCCAGCAGTGCCTGATGGGAGAAAAGGTCGTAATGTTAAGTCCCCCATGTAGTCCCCTACTGTATTACCCCTGCTATGTCCCTTGCATGGGGACTTGCATAAATACTGGATGCTGTGAATAAAAACCTCAGTTGACTCCCAGAACTGTGTTTCGTCCGGTTACTGGGGGATTTGGGATATTGCCTTACTTTTCAGCGCTTGACTGTGGATTACCTTGTTTACCAGCGGAGATCATGGGACTTAATATTGCCGCTCCGCTACACAGAGGAACACCCCCCTTGACTTGATGGGTAGTGATGTACCGAACGGTTCGCTGGCGAACGGTTCCTGGCGAACATAGCATGTTCGCGTTCGCCAGGCGGGCGAACATATGCACGGTTCGATCCGCCCCCTATTCGTCATCATTGAGTAAACTTTGACCCTGTACCTCACAGTCAGCAGACACATTCCAGCCAATTAGCAGCACACCCTCCCTAGCAGACCCTCCCACCTACTGGACAGCATCCATTTTAGATTCATTCTCAAGCTGCATGCTTAGTGAGAGGAGGGAAAGTGTAGCTGCTGTTGATTAGATAGGAAAATGCATAGCTAGGTTAAGTTGGGGTATGCTTTTTGATTTTTCTATGTAATGTAATAGCAGTCAGTTGTCTGCCACTGCTGCCAGCATCTGTGTCAGGCTCACAGTGGATACTGTACCCATTTCCCCAGTCAGTGCCACCACTTATATCTGGTGTCACAATAGCTTGGATTTAAAAACAAAAAACTTTTTTCACTGTTATAGATTGAATAGCAGTCAGTGTCCTTAAAGCGGGTGTGTTACGCTAACAGTGGATACGGTGCCCAGTGCCACCACTCACTGGTGTCATAGTAGCATGGATTTAAAAACAAAAACTTTTTTCACTGTTATAGATTGAATAGCAGTCAGTGTCGCGGGTGTTACACTAACAGTGGATCTGATTGCCCAGTGCCACCACTCACTGGTGTCTCTTAGCTTGGATTTAAAAACAAAAAACTTTTCACTGTTATTAGATTGCTTGAATAGCAGTCAAGCGTAACGCACCACCCAGGACACGCTAACAGTGGATCACGGGTGACCAGTGCCACTCACTGGTGTCACAATAGCTTGGATTTAAAAAAACAAAAAACTTTTTTCACTGTTATAGATTGAATAGCAGTTAGTTATCTTCAAGCGGGTGTCAGGCCTACAGCCTGTGCTCTGCACAACTGTGCCAGTGCACGTTGCCACTCATATCTGGTCTCACAGTAGCTTGCACGCATAGTACCACTAATCCCAACAAAAATGACAGGCAGAGGCAGGCCACCCCGCAGGGGCCATCGTGGTCGTGGTGCTGTGATTCCCTTTGGCCCTAGAATAATGCCCAGTTTTCAGAGGCCA